ATTTGTTTCTTTTGCGTTGTTGTGATCAGTTTACAGCTTGATATACAGCAGAAGGGTGGTCATATCTGTAAATGTCACTTTGATTTGTAAAGCACCTATCGTAGTGTCCTGAACACACATGAAATTTAATCAGTAGCATTGAAAGTTAAGTGATAAGGGTAGGGGAAAGATAATAAGGGAAAAGAAAAAATTATGAGAAAATGAAAAAATGGAAATAAAGTGTTTGTAAAGGGGGAGGGGAGGAGAGGTGAAGGGAGGACAGGGACAAGGGGAAAAAATGAGAACCAAGACCTGTCATGTAAAGGTACAAGATCCCAGTAATGAATGTAACTGTACTGTATACCTAATATGTACCAATAAACTCAATGAGAAAAAAAATAAAGTTAAATGATGATTTGTCTCAATGCAGTTCAATTCAATTCAGAACCATGGGCTGTTCATGGAAAGAAAGGCTATCTGATTGTGGCCAGGGATGCAGAAATAACACTTTACGTTAGGATAATTTGGGTCTCTTGAAGGCTCCCAGCATGTGACTATTGGACAAACCTTATCTGGTCTCTGTTCATATCATTTATCTTACACATCAATATTGGCTTTAATATTCTTTAGAGGGATTGAAGTGAAAAGAAACTGTTGTGTAACCACCTATAATTTGTATGTGCAGACTCAGGCTATATCTCTAAGCCTCATGTAGTGTTGACCGTACCTTCTGTGTCCTCATTCTTGCCACTTGTATATAGAGAAATCCTGGTTCTGATGAACACTGTGGCAAGTTTGAATGGGCAGAGAAGGGAAGAGATGGCAACATGCATCCTGAGGTGAGGATGAAAGATGCATGGATGTCGCTGCCTGACAGCCTGGCATCATGGTCCAGTGTTGCCATGGTGATGAAGGTGCAAGGATGCTAAGTGTATGCATAGCCCCATGTTTTTAAATAGCAGCTGGTTGGTGCCACTGTGGTCCCTGGATTGCTGCCCCTCTGAGTCACTGCTTGGCCCCAGCTGTCTTGATGTCTGTTGACAAATGGTTGTCCTTCACAGTCAAACTACTAACAGTACTCTAATTAATGAATGTGCTAATTATCCATACCTATTCCCAGCACATTTGTCTAACTATCCTGTCACACACATGAGTGCAGCATATGTGTAAGTACTGAGGGGGCAGGGGTTGGGCAAGGGGTGGGGCCCACAGTTATGGAGCTGTGGGATTTATTTTGTTAAATAACCTTTACCAATGGCTCGGTATGGAGGGGGTACATTATTTCCTGCAATGTCAGTATGTTTTCTTTTTGGAAAATCTCTCTTTGGGAATAGATGGGTAATTGCTCAATTTGTTAGCCTATGAAAGGATTGCTAAGTACAGATTCAGAAGGACCAGGGCACCCCCAAGTTCTGGAAATGCTTCCAGAACAATGTAGGGTGCTTACAACGACAGACCATGCAGTTAGGCCTGTGTTTGCATTCTAGTTCTGCTCCTTGCTTCATGTGCATCCTTGAGCAAATTTCAGGCAATGGTGGGGGTGGGAAGGAATAATTTTTCCCTTGCGATGTTGCAGAGCAACTGCAGAGCTCTTGGCACAGTGCCCAGCACATGTCAGGTCCCTGAGCACAGGGGCTCTGGTTGTGGGGCTGCTCTGGGCTTTCCTGGCTGGACTCAGTGCTGTGGGTGCTGTGTGGGAGGCAGCGGGTAAGTCTTGTGCCCACCCCTACCCAGGCACCCATGCCTTTTTGTTCTGTCTCAGCAGCTCTCTATTGAGATGGATGGCATTTCCAGAGGCTTCACCTCTGATAAGTGCTCCTCTGTAGCTGCAGCCAGAATCTTAATGGGAACACTGTAATTTAATGGCCATCTCAGCTATTAATGCACACCTCCCAGGCAACGTGGACTCACGCCACCAGCACCTGCTTTCCAGGCTGCAGGGAACACTAAGGGACTGAGAGGGGACCTCCTGCAAGATCCTAGTGTACAGTTTTTCAGCCTTTCAAAGCACAAATGGCTGGGCATGTTCTCCTCAGTTTGGGGGCTCTAGAAGGCTTGTGAAACAGTCAAGAGTAGCCACCCTTCCTGGTTACCTACCTTCCATGGGGCTGGGAAGATTCCCTATGGTGCCAGATTCCTTGCTGAACTCTACTTGTGGGTGCTGAATCCTGTGTGCTAGCACATCAGGCACACATGTCCATGCCATAAAACTGAACAGGGGAGCAGGAGAGACATGGGGATAAGCTTCAAGAGACTCCAGTGTAAATCAGAGAAACTGCTATAAGAACTGGGAATTTGCAAGCCAAGAGTGGTGACTTACCCCTGTAATCCCAGCACTTGGAAGGCTGAGGCAGGAGGATTGCTGCCAGTTTGAGGCCAGCCTGAGTTACACAGTGAGTTCAAGGCCAACCTGAACTACATAGTGAGAGTCAAACAAAACAAAACAAAACCAATAAAAGAAAATAAGTTTAAAAATAAGAACTGGAAATTTGGAAATTGATTATAAGTAATGGAAGTCACAGAACCATAGTAGATGTACCTTGTACCCTATCTCTTTTTTGGAATGGTGACTGTGGGAACTACCAGGCTCTTTCATTTTCCTGCTATCTGGTTGACCTTGGGAATGGTTGCTTGGCCAGCTTGGGCCAGTGAAGTTGACCTCAGAGCTTAGATGAGAGAGATCTTTGATGGCAGAGGATGTAAAGTATAAAACTCCTGAGTTATAGATGGACATACTTTCCACTATGTGGAGAAAAATGTTCTGAAGGGAGAATAAATATGATGCACTAAGAAAAGCAAGAGAGTTGGGGGAGAGGGAGAGACGAGAGTCCATTCAGGACTGTTATATTGGGGAGAGAGAAATTTCTAGCTACAAAATCCAAATATCTCTGCTCTTTTCAACGTTCTTTTGCTCAGTTATTTGGATTCTTTGAGCTCATAAATTTCCCTTTTTTTGCCCAAGGTAGCTTGAGCTGTTTCAATTACTTACAACAGTACTACTTTTTAAAGGAACTACTGGCTTTTACTTTTTATGCATTGTCACTAAGGTATGGTGAATATTATTAAAAGGGTTAATTGTTTACGGGGATTAAAACTTCTTGGCTTCTGAAATTTAAACCACCTAAAACTCACCAAACTGCACATACAAATGCGATCTCCTTAAGGTAAATATACAGATCTTACTAGTGTTGAATGCTTAGTTAACCTTCTAATAACTTTGTGATGGTTAATTTTATTTAACCTTGACTAGGCTATGGAATGCCCAGACGGCTGGTAAAATGTCATTTCTAGAGGAAGTCGTGAGGATGTTTCTGGGAGAGATTAATATTTGAAATCTTTGAATTAAACAAAGATCTGCCCTCACTAAAGTGGATGGGCATTATTGAACCCATTGGGAGCCTAACTAGAACAACAGGTGGAGGGAGAGTGGATTTCTCCTCTTGGGCTGGAACATCCACTTTCTCCTGCAGGGGACCTCAAAGCCCCAGGTACAATCTAGCTTTTGGAAGTAGATCTGGCCTTGTGAAATTGGCTTCCCCAATTATGAGGCCGCTGTACTGAGACTGATGTGTACCATTAGGTTCCCTGTTTCTCCACTTGGCAGATAGCAGATCCTAGGACTGCTCAGCCTCCATAACTTTGTTAAGCTGTCTTTCAGGAGAACCCTAACTAATATATATCCTATATTCTATCAAGTGTCTAGAGAGCACTATATTCTGCAAAGTGTATACTCTATAAAGAGCTCACAGTATAGTCAAGAGTGTCATGAGCACTCTGAATGTCCCAGTTACTGGCTTCAGCACAACCAACCACTGCTCACTGCCTCTACCACCGTCTTTCCCCTGAAGTTGCACCGAGGATGCTCTGATTGGCCACTACTGAGATAGGTGTGGGAGCAAGGTCTCTTCCCACAACTTGGCCTCTCCTGCGATACCTGCTGCCACCAAGGATAGTGGCTGATGTTATCTTTCAAAGTGAGGTTTTGATAAAAGCATCTCTTAATCATTGATAAGTAGTTGAGTCTTGGATAAGGATTACAGGAATCTTGCTTTTTCTATATAAACTCCGAGGGATTGCTGCTCACACAGAGAAAGCTGCCGTGTTCTGTGCCAGGAAAACCCCTCCCCAAACCCAGCCCTCCCCATAGGAGGGCTTATCCTTTCTGTTGGAAAGAGCTTCAGGAAAGGTATTTAGTTCTACATTTGCCTCAGAAAAGCCATTTACAGTGTTTATCTTTGTTTGGAAGTTTTCCTCACTGGTCATCTAAAACTCCATATCTGACCCTTACTAGATTCTTTGATTTTGCTTTAATCTTTGACTTAAAGCTTTAGTTCTTTTCATCATTTTTGTTATGTAGGAATAGAAAAATGAGCTGTATCGTACCCATCACCCACCCACCTTCCTTCTCTCCTTCCCGTGTGGTTGCTACTGTGACTCCTACATGTTAGTGTCATTTTCCTTCTAGGAGTTCAAAGGCCAAGGGACAGCACTCAGGATGCAGTTCCTTTTGTTGTCATTTGCCCCTTCTTTCTCTGCTGATGTCAGAGATGACAGTGACTTCCAGATCCTCTGGTTCCTGCAGGTTCTCATGCGGGTTGGGTTTTGGTCCCAGGATTTGTTCAAGACACTCAAGAAATCTTTCCATGACAAAGCAGGGTGGGTGAGTGTGCTGGCCTGTCTGCCTCTCCCACACCCTGCTTCTCCTGGCACTTCCCAGACACTTCAGTGGTGAATAAAAAATAGAACAAATGGGAGAAGAAAAAGAAAGAAGAGAGAGAAGGAGGAGGAGAAGGAAGGAGAAGGAGAAGGCGGAGAAGGAGGAGAGGAGGAGGAAGAAATGGGGCTGGGAATTTAGTTCAGTGGTTCTTCCACCTGCCTTGCAAGCACAAGGACTAGAGTTTGTTCCCCAGTATCAAAAAAAAAAAAAAAAAAAGGAAGAAATGGTGGAGGAAGGAGGAGAAAGAAATTCTAATGATGAAAGACTGCGTGCAAGCCTGCACTTCCTCTTCCTGCTCAGCACAGGCTGTGGTGCTGGGTCATACCAGTCTCCTCGGGAGAGCCGGAAGCAAGCATGGATCGAGAGGCCATGGGCAGTGTTGTCCTGCTGACCATTGTTACCCTCATCAGCGTGGTCCAGAATGGTAAGGGAAGGGGGTTGTTTGTAAGTCAGGCTGAGAAAAGTGAGTGTGTGTGTGTGTGTGTGACTGTGTGTACAAACAATTTTGTCTCTATTTCTTTCTTTTTTCTTTTTTTCATTGTTTATTGGTACACTTAAGGTAAACAATATAGTCAAATTCATCATTGGGATCTTGTACCTTTACATAATGTATCTTGGTTCTTATTTTTCCCCATTCTCCTGCCCTCCCTTCACTCCCTTCTCTGTTTCTTTTTATTTCACTGTACAGGGTGTGTGCACTTTTATGTGAATGTGGCATTTTCTTCTTGCTGATCTTTCTTTTCCTTTAGTGGTGATGACTAGTCAGGTTTGCAGAGAAAAGGCAATAACCCCAAGGGCTTGTAAAATAGCCCTCACAGAATTGTCTTCGATCAGCATTTAGCTATTAATTAATGTGGCCAGGGAAAGTGTGGAAGGTGAGGAGCCTAGCAAGGGAATGTGTGATACACACATTCACTCAGACATCAGGCTTAACTAACTTTTCAGGATGCAGCTGAGGTTACCTGTAATCTATAGGCTGCATAAAAGGGGAAAATGAATTTAGCAAGTGTAAAGGAAAAATACTCATATCATTATTTTCTCTCTCTCTCTCTTTCTTTCTTTTTTTTGTCTGTCTTTCTTTTTGTGTACCAGGAATCAAACTCAGGACGTTGTGCTTGCCAGGCAGGTATGGGACCACTGAGCTAAATCCCTGGCCCTTTTTCTTTCTTTTGCAGAAAAAATTCTTTCTTTTTCTTTAGCAAAGTATAATTTTGAGGTACTTTTCATATTCATTATATTCAGAGAGAGAAGGAAGAAGAGGGAAGAGGACAGATGAGAGGGAGAAAGAGAGAAAGAGAGGGAACAAGGGATGGAGGGAGGGAGAGAGGGAGAGAGAGACAGAGAGAGAGAGAGAGAGAGAGAGAGAGAGAGAGAGAGAGAGATCACAATTTGCTTTTTCATTAATCTTACTCTCAGTATGAAATCAAACAGGACATCCAGGACTGCAAAAGAGAGAACTCTGTAAAACCATTTCTTTATACTTTTGAGTTAGGGAGAGAGGAGCTCAGAATATTTTTTATAAGAATTTCTAATGTCTTTGTGTTTTATAGTTTAATAAGATAGAGAAGGTAATTGTTAAGAGGAGCTGCCATAGCATAATGGTAATTACTGAACATATACACACTGTCACACTTTGGAACTTGCAATATTGAAATTTTGGTGTATTCCAATATCTGTCTGCATCTTGAGTGTGGACAGACACTGGTGATTTGAGTGTCTGGACACAAAGCCAGGCTTCCCCTCAGCCTTCCACACCAGTGAGCACAACTTTGCACCCTCTGAGTAAATTCTGGGTATGGAGCAGCACTTTGCAGCTTTTGGACCCAAACATTTCATTCTAAATTGCACACTATCATGTTGTAGCTCAGAGAGGGGAAATAACAATGGCTGATCAAGCCACCACTTCTTCAACCCGTTGTTATTTCTTGTAGGGCTCCTTTGGCCCTGTGAATTGACAAGGGCTCCAGTAAATATTCAACCTGCATGCACCTCCAGAGACTCTGCTCTGCAAGGAATCCTGGGCACCTGGGGATATAGCAGTGAGCAAGACAGCCTTAGCTCTTCTTTCAAGGAAAGGAAAGGACAACAGCAAGCTGCAGTGACTGTTCTGTTTCCTCAAAGAGTTTCATGGGCGGGTGGGCAGTGCCTGTTCAGCCCTGCGTAGTCTCAGTTCCAGCCTTCCCCTTCTACTCATCAGTATTACCAAAGGCACCAGAGGACAGGGGACTCCTGCCTTCTCCCCTGCCCATCAGGGGCTGGGCTTAGCTGTGAAGTTCAAGTTCACTCTCACCTGCTCCTTCTCAGTTCCTTGCTCCTTGTGTGAACCTAGTCTCTTCTCCTTCCCTAACTGAGATGACCAGGGAACTGCTTCTGCTCCATCCCAAGGCTCATGGTTTCTCCACAGTAGCCTAGCAAACCTTGAGCAGACTGGAGGGGGATGGTAAGAATCCTGATAGTTTTTGGCAGATGGGTTGAAATCTTCTTCTATATCACAAGTGGGAAAGGAGGTGTGATTACACATGGCCAAATATCAGTTCACAGCCACAATCTAGGGCCTTGACCCTTCATAAACCATGTGAAATGGATAACAAAAAACATAACAACTCCATGAACAGAGTTTTACAAAATGATAAGTAGACTGGAGGCTTCCTAGTTGGGGACATATAAGTGTGGATCAATGGGGAGCTACATTTTTGGGCTGGAGATTTTTTCACATTGGGCAAACAAAAGAGTAGGGTGGGCTAGCATTCTATACAATCATTGCCCTGTTCCTTCTCAGCTAGGGCAATATGTGGACTGAGTGACTTCACACACAGCTGTCCCACTGATACTCAGGGAAAGGAGCTTCTGCTGCCCACGGAAAGCCACAGAATGGTCCCTACACACCTCTCCGACGATAAACCATGCTTTCCTCTTAGGGAAGGACACAAACTCCCCAGATGGTTCTGCAATCCTCTCTGAGGGCTTTTTTGTAACTGCCGCATGTTTTGTTCTGAGTAACAAGAAAATTTGAACAGGCTGAGATAACACCTTAATTTATTTATTTTGGTTTTTTTGAGACAGGGTTTCACTATGCAGTGAGACTGACCTGGAACTCCATGTGTAGCCCAGGCTGGTCTTGAACTCACAGTGACCCTCCTGCCTCAGCCTCCCAAGTGCTGGGATTACAGGCATGTGCTACCACGCCCGGCTACACCTTTACTTTTTTATACTGGGAGTTTTTAAGCAAACACAGAGGTCTAAAAGTACATTTGATTCTCTCTTTGCAATTCTAATTAACCTCAGTGTTATTACAGAGTTCAAAGAAATATGCAAAAACTGTGCTCCTCTCTCCCCACCTTGTGTGCTATTCTGGAACCTTCCTGTTAGTTTTAAAAAACATTTCCCCATTGTTAGCAGGCACCGAACGCTATTTGTGTGCCAAGACAACAAGGTACAGTATGTATGTTGTACCATGACAACCTGTGGCCACAGCCTTGGTACATTCTGTGGAGCTGGTTTTTGGAGGATGGGCACAGCCCAGCCTGCCTCCTGCAACTTCCTCCTCTGCCTTCAAATGCTTATTTAGTCAACAAGATCTCTGAACTTGTGCCCTTCTTCCAGTTTAATCCAGCAGAATGCAAAGATGTGGCAGAACAGAGCAAGTTTAAAATACATCATTAAAAAAAAAAATCAGGCCAGAGATATGTAAGCCTGGGTTCTCAGGGGTGTAGATGGGTACATTTTCTATGAATAGCAGCAGAAAACCTCCACTTCTCCTACTAAGGGGCCAACAGCTCTGTTAGGAGAAAACCTAGGAAAAATACACAGACACTTCCCAACTTAATGACCATCCCAGTTATGATTTTTCAACTTTATAATGGTCCAAAGTATACTCATACAAACATTCTGTGTTTTTCACTTTCAGTGAAAATTGTATGAAATGCTCAATAATATTATAAAATTGGCTTTGTGTTAAATAGCTTTGCTCAATGTAGGATATGAAGTGTTCTGTGCATATTTAGAATAGGCTAAACTGTGATGGTCAACAAGCTAGATGGATTGAAGGCAATTTTGACTTCCATAGTTTCAAGTTATGATGAGTTTATTGGGAAGTAATTTCATTATCAGCAGAGAAGCATCTGCCTTTGGTGAAAGTGATTTCCCCAGAAAACCAAACTACTGATATTCAGGGAAGGTGAGTAGAGGGAAAGGGCTCCAGCGCACTGAACTGGACATGGGGAAGGCAGAGCATGGTGACAGCAGAGAACACAGAGGAAGGGCAACCTCCTGCTGTTCCCACAGCCCTTCTGGTTGGAGGGGAAAGTGGGAGGAGTTAGCATCCTCCTCTCTTCCAGGTGAGGTGACCTCCTTGAAATTTCTTCTGGTCCTGTAGCCAGAAAGGAGATGCCACAGGCCTAAGGAAGCTGAGCTCCCTCTGCCCCTGCTGTCCCACCCTAGTACTCACACTCACTAGGAGCCTCACAAGGCACCATGTTGGAAGGCTTAGCCATCCAGCTCAGGGTTTGATGGCTTCTAGACACAGAATCACAGACTCATGAGGCTTCCTCAGTGCGAGAATCTTTACACTACCCCCAAGTACTGCATGGACACTCAACTGATGGGGAGCTTGCCCACCACTGTGTTTGTCTTTCCTATTCCTAGGCCTGTTGAGAGGTCACTTTGGGCAGGCACAGTGCTTCATGCTGTGCATTGTATCATTTCATTTAATCCCTGCCCTTATGAAATATATATTATTATTCATTCCCATTTTACAGATATGTGGTCAGGCTGGAGATGTCACACCCTTGGTAGAAAGACTCAGAGTCAATCATGGTGAAACTGGGATTCAAATCTAAACTTCTGACTGCAGAAAGGAGACACACCATTTATCTTGCCTCAAATTAGACCCTCTCCACAGGTGGGTCTAATCCTTTAAATCTCCACCACACTAAAGACAAAGTGGCTCTCTGATCTCAGAATTCCTGTGTTTAAACCCTGAAACAACTCCTGGTTGCTCACAAACAGAACTAAGCTGTGAATCCCTTCACATGGCTCCTGTGAAGCTCACAGCCACTTTGGTATGCCCAGAGGATGTTTCTCAGTGATCACCTTCAGCCACGGCCCAGGTCTTGCTTTCTCATGGAAATTCACTCTGCACATCCTACTGCACACCCTGATGGAGCTTTTCCAGGCTCTCCTTTCTTTTCCATCCTTAGCTCAATACACTGTATAATTTCAATTTATATGTTCTGTTTACCATACGTGATCTGTCTCCTCTTCCACTGTCCTTGCCAGAACATAAGCTCCTTGGGCCAAGGCTCTTTGGCTGCTTTTTTCTCAGATGCAAGCTAAGTGTTGGGTGCAAGGCAAGTGATATCTGTCATGTGTCACTGAAAGAACAGCTCACTGCCCACCCTGTTGGCCTCATCTGTAGTTCTACTGGGTCCTGCTCCCCAGTCCTCTCCATTACCATGACCTAAGATAGACATCTTGACTCAGAAACAGTTTTTTTTTTTTCCTTTTTCACAAGCAGCTCTTGCTTTGCACTTTTACACGTGCTCTTTCACTGGAATACTGTGATCTCCTCTTTTGTTCCCTGATTCTTTCATCTGCTTGGCCAATTCCTACTTGTTCTTCAGGTTTTGTCTGAAGCATCATTCCCCCTGGGAATCCTTTTGTGACCCAAACATGAGGAAAGCTGCCAGAAGCTGCCTCCTTTACCCTTGATGGCACTGAGTCCTCACAAAGACTCTTTTTAACATGTTGCTCTCTGCTTTCCTTCTTTGTCTATTTCTTTAGACTGTGAGGTCCTTAAAGCAAGGGCTCTGTATTTCACACCCTCCTAGCTTCACCTCCCAACAGTGATGATGGGAGAGTAGCTGCTGAATGTACTTTTGCTAAGTGACATTTGATTGGGGACATTTAAGGGTGTTTGGAGATCAGTTTAAGGAAACATTGTATTGTTCTAATATTTATACTAAGATAGCAGACTCCTGAACATGCCTGATGTGAACCAAATATAAACTTTTCCCTCTGGCAGCATTCTTTGCCCACAAGGTGGAGCACGAAAGCAAGACCCAGAATGGGCGGAGCTTCCAAAGGACTGGTACACTTGCCTTCGAGCGGGTCTACACTGCCAAGTGAGTCTAAACCCTGGAACTGTTGACTGAGAGGGTGGGGAACCTCCTTGCAGGAGTAAAGATCTCAAGGCTACAAGTCTGGCCAGGCCAGCCTTGAGAGTACCCAGGAAGTGCTTTGCTGCAGATGGGACTTGTCCTGGGAGACTTTGTGGACACCCTTTTGCATCTTAGTTAGTGTGAGTGTTAGAAGAAAGGAAGTAGGCAGGGCAGTGATCCCCATAGTTCCAGAAACAACTAAGACCATCATTTAGTGGGGGAAGTTGACCAACTTCCTGTGGGCTCAATCTGGAGACACTAAGGTGAAAAATAGCTCTGACACATCAGCTGCTCCAGAAGACAGGCAACAGCACTGACAATGGCTTTCCACTCACACTCTTGCTTTCCTGGGGTGACAGTCTCAGATGAGTTATTAGAATAAGTGCAGAAAGAATGGGACCTTATGCCTTTATGATTTCCCACTTTCAGTCTTTGCTTTTGAATAAAAAAGCTGTTTGAAAACATCTGAACAGCTCAGGGAAGAGGGCTGTGATCTATTTGGGATGCAAATCCAAAAGGCTGTTATTCAAACATGCGCTTTTCTTTCATGCAGAATGTATTTCAGCAGAAGAGCAGACAGGGGCTGTGGACCTGCTTCTCCTCCTTATGACTGGAGGACAGGTGGGAAGGCAGACTCCATGCTGTGGAGCTATCAGGGAGCAAAGCTCCAGCCCAGAGGTGACTTTGAGGTCCCCAGAGGGAAATCAGATCTACCAAGGAATTTGTGTTTAGAATGACAATAACAGCACACACAAACTGAGGGATGAGGACTCATCTGCCAGGATGGGGAGGTTGGGCCCTGCCAACTCTAGGAAGGCAGCTTAGAGGGAGGGTGCCCCTCTGGCTGGGCTGGCTTCTTGTGGGTTACACCAACTCCAAGGGCGCTTGATGGGACAGTTCCACATCAGCCTCATCAGGTGTCCCCTCTTCAGTCCTTTACTTCACTTAGGTGGTATGTATGCTTTTTTTGACAAGAAGATGTTGGGGGGAACTTTGGGAGTGTCTTCCTCATTGCGTTTCTTCATTATTGGCTCCTTTCTCCCTCAACTTCTAAATTACTGTATGCTTTGTCTGGCCTACTCAGGGCACATTGGCAGGGATGTCTTGGGCTGATGGTCTCTCTGGGACCTTGTTCTCTCTGGCTCTTTGGCTTTTTCAGGCCACTCCTGAGTGCTCACACTGCCTCAGCAAGATACTCCCCGGCCCCGTGCCCTCCATTCCAGCCATGTGCTCTGCTGCACTCCCCTGCTCCTCCAAGCAGGCACTCCTGTACAGGGTTATCCCAGCAGCCAGAGCACATGGAAATCCTTGGCTGAACTACCCACTGGGAGATTTCTATTTTAACACGTGGGACTTGGGGGTATTCATTCTGAAAATCAATGTAAGAAGTTTAAAAATGTGATCTAAGAGACATCATAGACCTATTTGGGGACCAGGAGGGAAAACATGAAAACATTCAGGTTACAGGGGAAACATGCTGGCTGCTATCAACTTCTTTTCAAGAGCTGTAAAGAAGGTGTATTATCAGGGACAAGACACCTACCAGTAAAACCTCTCTGAAATTGGAGTCCAAAGAAAACAGAAGAGGAGCTTCCTCCTGTCTAGATGTCCAGATGAGATGACTGCACCCCAACTGCAATATATATCTATTTTTTTTTTTGCATTACTGAGGATTGAACCTAGGATTTTCTCACTGAGTTACATTCCCAGCCCCTTTTATATTTTTATTTTAAGAATGGGTCTTACTAAATTTTTAAGTTGCCTAGGCTTGGCTTGAACTTGTGATTCTCCTGCTTGAGCCTCTCAAGGTGCTAGCATTACAGGTATATACTATTAGCATTCTTATTTATGGTCTAGCTCTTCCACTTGGAAGAAGTCTCAGTGGAATTTTACTGTATCTTCTTAGAAGTTAAGATTTACTTTCGCTGGTAATGAACAAGAAACGGGGCAGGCTGAATTGTCTTGTTTCTGCCACTTGTCCCCAGGAGCAAAAGAGCTGTTTCTAAGAAGCCAGTGTGCTTACATTGGCCTCACTGACTCTCAGCCTCTAAGTTGCAGAAGTGCACTTTTTCTGGTGGTTGGGAATGTGGTTTGGAAGTTCTGTAGTTGCACAGGGTTCCAGAGATAAGAATGAGCAAGAGGGTAGTAAGGAATAATGGATTGTTGCTACTTGAGGGTCCCCACAGTGTGGGAGTCACAGCCCAGTTTGCAAACCCCATTGTCTTTGCTACTCAGCTCCCATGAGGGGTCAGGAGAAGAATGAAGGGAGAGGAGAGATTGTAGGAAAAGCGCAGAAGTAAGGGGAGGGGAGCAGAACTAAGAAGTAAAATAGCTCAGACACTGCTGTGGTTCTGTTACAAGCACCACTTCCTCCCTGGCCCAACAATAGCGTATGTATGACTGTGGATTGTAAACAGGGCCAGGGATCAGTGAAGCAGGTTACTGTATGCTGGCAAGAGCCAGAGGCACCCAGGCTGTTTGCCTGTGCCAGGAGACTCCTGGGAGGGCAATGTGTTTTTCTAGTGGACGCTGCTCCCAGAAATAGCTTCTTTAAGGGCATTAAAAATGACAGAAAGGGATGCAAGATATCTATGTGAGTGCAGGAGGAAAAGAGCATGTATTTAATCTTGTTATCCAAAGCATAAGAAATGAAGTTGCACTCAGTTTAAATAACCAGATTGGCAGCAGCTCATGTACTATATATAATTTATACATAAATATATCTATCAGGGTTTCATTATCAAGACCACTGGTTGATAGGTATGGGATCATAAATGTTTAGATGCCCTGGATATGAAAGAAAAATATATAGAAAAAGTGGTAGTGGTGGATGGATGCATTTTTTCCAGCATAAAATATGACTATTGACAGACATAGAGAGTTGGAGGTTCTGAGGCAGGGAATTAACAGACATTCCCACTGGCCTGATCCATCAGCTCAGATTTGGCCTTGATCGCTGACCTGTTCCATCATCTGTCTCCCCTGAGGGCAGCACTGAGTCAGGAGTGGAGCGCCTAGAAGAGCTGGACCTTGGTTCTATATTCACAGGTATAAAATGCAGTTCAGTGCTTTGTTCTCAGAGGACAAGCACAACCTTGGTCAGCGTTTGGTTTTGGAGAAGAATCCTTAGGTCAATTAGCTGACCTAAGCCTCCTTCTGGAGTGCAGAAAAGAGACTGGGTCTCTGGAGGTACATAATTTCCTAAAATGTGTCCTATGGATTCCAACTTCAGGAGTCATTAACAAGTGTTACAAGGAAGGACAAATTCTTAATAGCCTGACTTTTGAGAGCCTGTGACATATTAAGGGACACTCTAATTCTTGGATCTCTAAAAGGGGTGTCTTAGTTAATCACAAATGTTAACCACCTGTTTTAAGTTAACCCCCTCCTGCTTTTTTCTAAAATACATTCTGAGAAACTGAACCCTAATGTCACTTTTCCTCCTGCATCTATTGGCACCTACTGTAGCCTCAATCTGAAGTAGACTTGCACAGGTATTTGAAGGTGATAGGTGTACAATGACCCTATTGATTAGTATTAATACTATTTGTTGGCTATTATTCATATTTTCTTATTCTGAATTAATCAAAACTGATTAACAGAACATTAAAGCACTCTTGTATTGTATTCCTAGAAATGGAGAAAAATGAAAAGGAAAACAATATGAGCCCCTTTCTCCATACAAACAGGAAGTGGACATCAAAATGAATGTAACAAATTATTGCAAAATTTTCTGAGCAGCTCCTAGTTAGAACTCAAGAAATGTGAATCAAAATGGTTTTGCCTGTTGTTTTGCAGAAAAATGGCACAAAACTCTCTAAAAGAAAATTTATAATAATAATAATAATGATGATGATAATAATGATGTGTCATTAGAAAAATATATTTCCACTGGGCGAAGAGGGAAAACAGGAGCAATAATAGCCACCGTTTACTGAATAATTCCTGTGAGGCACCCAGAGCTTCCTGCCACTATACTTTCACAACAGTTCAACAGGGTAGTTACTAAGGTCTCCCTTCACCTCTTGTAGCTGAGCAAACAGAGGCTCTGTGAGGCTAGGAAAAATACATTCATGTAGCCAAGTGGCAGCCTTGGCATTGGTCCTGGGGTGTGTGGACCCATGAGCAGCAATGTAGCTCCATGGTGGGGCACAGTGTGCCACTGTACAAACCTTCTTGAATTCAGCCCAGCAGCAGCGCCTCAAGGTATTGAGATAATGTGGCTTGGAGATTGGGATTAGAAATCCTGAAAGGGAAGAGGAGCAGCCTTGAGCCACATTGAGGGACAGGCTTAACAGACTGATGGAGAAGACTCAGGGGAGAGGGAGAGAGGGAGGGAGAAACAGAGAGAGGGGGGAGGGAGAGAGAGAGAGAGAGAGAGAGAGAGAGAGAGAGAGAGAGAGAATATTCTGTAAATCCCATGAAAGAGTCCATTCTCTGATGGGAGAGTTTATTTTAACTACAGCAAGACCATGTTTTGTTAGGACCCAAGGTGACTTGAAATAATATGAATGATTGAAGGATTGCAATATTATAACTGGACAGTTCTCTTGAGTGAGAAAATTCCTGGACAAATAAGAATTTATTTCTCTTTGTAATCACCAAGAGAAAATACTGCTTAAAAACAAATAAAACGACTCAGAAACATGAGAACGAGGAGGAAGTAGGGGACAGTCTTTGGTATTGATAGGTTTTTCAGACTATAAGAGCATAGATATTTTATCCTATTGACATAACATGTTATTCAACCAACTGAAAAAGGAGTTTTTTTCTCTAGTTTTCTTGAGCTGGGAGATGAATCACATTTTCTTAGTTCCGAGGCTGCAAATTTGTACCTCTACTAATGGATAAGAACAGAAGTGAGGCTGGTGCACAGTTGAAATTTTGCACCTGTTTATTTTCTAAGTGTGACACCCAAATGGACTCCTCACGGGGCCCTCCTGCCCCTTGGAACTCTTACAAGATCAGTGAAATCTCAAGACGACCAGGTGTATTCCTTCATTCTGTGCCTGGCTTAGGCTGTGCCTGTTGCCCAGGACAGGATGCATGGGTTTCTCACCTACTACATTCATAGACTTCTCCAGGAAAGACTCTTCTGGATACCAGAGGGGTATGATGGTCCCTTTGGCCAAACAAGGACAGCCTGATCTCTCAGGGTCTTTGCAGTGTATGGATCAAGCACTGCTGGTTTCAGATGTATTAGCAGCTTTCCATAACTAAAATGAAATACCCGATACAGGCTATTTATTAAGTAAAGAGGGGTTTATTTTGACTCTCAGTTCCGGAGGGGTGAACACATAATAGTGGGAACACATGTTGGAGTGAGTGTTCATATGTCAATCCAGGAAAGAGGGAGAGGGAGATAGAGAGAAAGAGAGAGAGAGAGAGAGAGAGAGGGAAATTTTCAACACGTGTGGGATCCCCTACAATTATTTTTAAAAATTGTTTATTAGCATTAACATGTTTGCAATATGTAATGATTACATTCTTGTGGAGAGTTGGTAAATGAATGTACATAACACATCTTAATTGTTTTTATGTTTCTGTCTTTTCACCTCCTTTCCTCCTTCCTCCATCTCTAGGTCTCCTTTCCTTTGAAAAAGATTTATATCCCTACTTCTTATTATTTTATTTTGCCCTCTCAGTGACCTAAGGACTTACTACTAGGCCTTACCCCTAAGATGTGTAGCACCTTTCAGTAGGTCACTCTGGAGACCAAACTTCTAACATACATATGGAAAATATTTGGGCACACTTTACATATCCAAAGTTTTCAATGGTAGCAGTTAAAAAAGGCAGTTTGAAAATCACATCTTGACTGTTACCTATATCATTTGAACCCCCTTAACCCGTGGTTCTCAAACTTCAGGTCTTCAGGCACTGTTTTTAAGACCCAAATTGCTGAGCCCCTTCCTATTTTTAGTTCTGTAGGTATGAGATGAGCGCAAACATTTGCTTAACAAGATCTCTGGTGGCTATACTGACATTGGTGGTGAGAAATAATATAGATCTTACATTAGACCATCAACTCCTAAAGCTTCATTGGATCTCAGATTTGTTTTCAATCTGTTTTACAGACAAGGGAATTAAGTTGGGAAAGATTGCTTTGCCAATAGTGAAAAGCTGGTTAAAGACAGCATGAGGACTTAGTCCTAGTCAAGTGCCCTTTCTGTTGCATCTTATTGCTACTTTCATATGCCTATCATATCTTGTTCTGTGGTTTTTCTCTATTTACTGCCTATGTATTGTTCTTATCTAGATTGTAAACTCTTCTTGAGCACATCTCCTGTTTAATTTAGTACAGTCAAAGAGTTAACAGCCTGAATTTGGATACAGTCTGATGAGGTATGAACCTGGCTTTACCTGGTTGGGAGACCCTGGGCAAGTTATTCCGTCACTCTGAGCCTCAGATTCTTTTCTGAACCATTAGCGGAATTGTGATAGGAAGAAGTACTGCCCTCCCATACATGCCCACATCCCTAACCTTGGGAATTTATGAGTATATTATGTTTCATGACAAGGAAGAATTCAGGTTGATAACCAGTTGCCTTTGAAATAATGAAGATTACTTTGGATTGGTTGGATATGATGTGTACAATTGCAAGGGTCCTTCAAATGGGGAAGGAGGAGGCAGTGATGATTTAATACCAGCAAGATTGGGGCTGGGGGTGTGGCTCATTGGTATAGCTCTTGCCTAGCATGCTCCAGGCCCTAGTTGTATCTCCATCACTGCAAAAGCAACAACAGTAACAACCTCAGCATCTTCCTGACTCTCTACCTTCCTGGGAAAACATCAGGAAGACTCCATCAGACATTCCTGGCTCTGATGCTGGAAGGGAACCTGAGCTGAGGAATAGTAGTTTGGCGAAGCAAGTCAATGGACTTTTCCTTAGAGCCCCGAGGGGAAGGCAGCCTTGCTCATACCTTGGTTTCAGCCCAGGGAGCTCCATTTGAGGCTGTCGACCTCCAGAACTGTGCCATATGTGTTTGCACTGTTTCACATCACCACATCTGTGGCCACTTGTTACTATAGCTGAAGGAAAGTCATGCAGTTGCCTTGGGTATTCATGGGAATACGGTGAGCGCAAAAGAGATGATGGGCGAAAACAGCAGTGTGATACCAAGAGTAGGGTAAGCCCCGCACCCCCAGGGAGGCAAGGACTGTGTGCCTGGCACCACCAATAAGCTAACTTTCCACATCAGCTTTTGTGAATGGATCCTGGCTTCTTTAATGCTTGAAGATCACTTTCTTTCTCAGCCTGGCTTGCAGATGTGGGTGGATCTATATGTATGACATTGCCTTAGCTGAACTTTTCTCCTCTGCCGCCCTGCCTCGCTTATGACCACACCCTGCTGTCTGCATTGCTCACTTTTTAATTCCAAGAAGTGCACAGGCACTGCCAGGAACAGAAATCCTGCCAAAGTGAATACATCAAGAAACCAAGCCTCCCATCAGTTTCACCGTGGGAAGAGAGCTAACGGATTCTGAACACGAGTTTGCTTCCTGCCGCTGTCTGTTGCCAGCGTGGTGGCTGGCTGCCTCTTACCGGGTAGAAGGAAGTGGAGTGACTAGTGGGGCTGTGTGTCCGTTGTGCGATGGTGATTATTAACTCAGGGTTTCAATTCATTTTCAGACCATATTGCAGCGATGTGCTTTTCTGATTTCTCTCCTCCTTGTTTATTTCACAGCCAGAACTGTGTAGACGCATACCCTACATTCCTTGCGGTGCTTTGGACTGCGGGGCTTCTTTGCAGCCAAGGTAACTCAGACTTGCCTTTGTGTGTTCTTTCTGTAATGTGCAACTCAGGGAAGTTCAAAGGGCAGGTATTGTGTTGAAAAGACTTTGCCTGACTTCCAGCTCAGACCCGTGCAGCCTTGGGGAGCCGAGAGCCCTTGTGACGCTGGGCTTCAGGCACGTTCTGAACTGCGCAGCGCAGCACGGTATGATAATGCATTGCTAATGCGTGCTCCCTGGTGGCTGGTTGAGAGCTGCTCACTGACAAGGGTGCTTTAAGGCTAAATGTGACTCAGAATCCACAAGCAGTGTTAGCTCAGATACAAGGGCATTATAAATGAGAGTGCCTGAGGGATCTATTCCGGGACTGCTGTCTCTTGGCTCTTCTGCTAATAAGCTCCCGGTGTGCTGGTGCTCCTCCGGGCATGTAGCGGTGGAGCCATGGGCTGGATTCCAGATCCCCAACTACCCCAGGGTTATCAGCAGCCTGCAGTCTTGACTTCAGTAAGTTGGAGGAACAGATCGATTCCCAGAGTTGATTATAATGAAATGGAAACCAGAAGCATATAATTTAGGCATCTTTGGAGATGTAGCATGAGACAGGCTTGGCCACAGCTGGCATCTGTCTGGTGGCAGCTTGGTGTGAATAGGCCAGCTTTTGTAGATCAGCAGGGCTCACATAAAATGGCCACAAACAGTCCTCTGAGGAACTGTTTAATTCCTAACCATCTTCTCCCCACTCTGTAAAGTATATAGAGTAGATATTTGTTCTTTCATTACCTTTAAGGACACTTTGGTTCAGGGAGATGAAGTCATTTATCAAGGCTCCTTGACTAGTGAACCACAGAGGCATGATCAGAGCCCCTGTCTTCTGGTTTCAGTAAATTAAGATTTTTCCACAAGTATCCCTTTACTTTAATTATATAATAAATATACAGAGGACATCTACTATATGCAAACTCCATGCCTAGATATACAGGGGTAAAAAAGACAGAGATAGCAGTGAAACACAGACTGGTTGGCAAGATGGAGCCTAGAAAAGTGGTAACTGGACACACTATTGCCAAGAGTCAGACATATCGTGAAGGACAGAGGCCAGGAACACCACACAGAAGGTGCCAGTGAGCTCACTAGTTTCCAGTTTTTATCCTGAGTGAAATGAGAAATGTGTCTAGTGCTACTTGAAAAATCAAATCAAATTCCTCTCATACTAGAAGTTATGCACTTTTTGTCCCAGATGGTGCTTGACTGAGATGAATCTGCAGTGGCTCTATCGAGATAAATACAAAAGAAGCTTGAAGGTACTGAGAGTGTGTCAAAAGAAGCACGGCATCTCCTGTTAAAATAAACATTGGCATTGCTGGGTGCACGTGCATTGGTTAATGTTGGTTCATAATTGTCATTGCTTCTGAATATACCAGATGGTGGAGTTTTTCAGTTGAAAGGAGCCACGGAAATCATTCTAACTCAAATTCTCACTTTACTGAGCAAGAGCCCAAGTAGCTTGCTTACACTTCAAACTTATAGAACTGGATTTGTCACCTGCTGGTGGCCCAGGTTCCCAATGGCATCCCTGTCATCCCCTGCAGAAGGACAATGGGTATGGTGTCTTTCCTTGCTGATTTTTATTAGCTCCTGTTCAACTGATTTCCCATTGAAAGAAAAATGGGCCAGTAAGTCAGATCTGAGCCATCCGAATGACAAAAGTCAGGAACGACTTCGAGGCAAAACAGATTGTGACAGTCTTATGTCTTTCAGAGAACAGGATAAACCACACAGTTTCTTAGGTGCCCCTATTTTCTTACTTGCCCTGAAACAACAGTATTTTGTAAGGCAAGAGGAGCTACAGAACAAATTGGGTCTCGGGAAATGACAGATTAGAAGCAAATCCAGCAACTCCATTGCTAAGGTGGGCTATTACTCAGATTTTTGAGCCCCAGTTTCCTCGTTATAAACCAGGACAGCTGTGCACCTCCTACTGTTCCTAGGAGATGTAATGGAAACAATATATATGAAACGCTGCTGCTGTATGTGCATGGTATATATCAGACTGAGTCCTATAACTGCCACTGTCTTTTTATGACCCACAAGAATGGTGGTTTTGTATGGTTCAACTTAACAAGCTCAGTAAATGCTGTTGTTGATTCTGCTAGTGATTGTGGTAAAGATTTGAAATCAGAAAGTGGCTTTAAATTCTGCTTCTGCAATTATTGCTGGATTTTTTCATTCATTTGACAAAAAATTTTTGAAAGTCTTTATATGCCAGGCACAAAGGTAATCTAAGGAAAGCGAGCTGTCCTCATGAATCTTTTGGCCTGAGCTTAATTTCTTCTTCTGTCAAATAGTGACAGTAAAATATTCCTTACCAGGTGTCAGGGAGGATTGTAGATGCAAGATCCTGAGTGCCAGGGAGGCAAGTGGCATGTAAAAAGTAATCAGCAGTAGCAGTTAATTTGGTATTTAAATAATGCTTGAAGGTTCTCAAACTGCTTTTATATTTAGGGCCCAATTTCATTCTCACCACTTCATAACAGGAAAAAAAAAAAAGCTGCAATCAGCTCTTTGTCCATATGCAGAATGAGTTAAACACCAGATAACACTACTCTTAGGAGAGCTGGATTTTCCAACTTCCAACCTGAAGTTCAGTATTCCCTGAAGTCACTGGAGTGCTGCTGCTTGGGGCTCTTTCCTAAAGGGTGAGAAAGCAGAGAGAAACTCCTTCCTGAGAGACCTTCTAGAAACAGAAGCAACTGTCCAGAAGAGGGGGAGCATGTTTTGCTGGGAACTGCAGGAGTATAGGATGTGATTTAAAGAGCCTTGGGGGAGGAGTCTGGGTTAAGTCCTTCCCTCCCTTTCTTACCAGCTGACAGCTTCACACAAGCCCCTTTGACCACCTGGGCCAAACTTTCCACACTTAGAAAGACACATTGATACTTCTTATGGTAAAAGGATTGATCTACATTAGCTGACAGATAGAAACTTCATAAACCACGCCACGAGGCTGGTATAAGGAAATAATATTATGATCTTTAAAATTCTTAAGCTTCTTCTAGCCTTTGGATTCTGTCTGAAGTTCATACCAACCTCCGCCATCAGAACCTGTGGCCTCTGCTAGATTTTTCAGCCAGCATCCATCACTCAATGATTGCATTGTTGTTATGCTTACAAAGCAAGTTTGTGCATCTGTGAAACTAACCTAGGTGTTTTCATTTCTCCTCTTAGTTCCTGCTGCCTTCGCTGGACTGATGTACTTGTTTGTGAGGCAAAAGTATTTCGTGGGCTATCTGGGAGAGAGAACTCAGAGGTAGGTCTCTGGAATTGTTGAAGAACTACAGGATGATGCTTGCTCTTTCTGGCAGGAGTGGTGATAATTCTGAATGGTATTCTGGCTGCCATTTAAAGCTCTGAAGGTTCCCTTGGTGATAGCAGGAGGACTGTCTAGGCAACTCTTGTCCTCTTCTTCCTGAACTTTGAGGGCTCTGAAAATGCAGCTGGGGACTTGTCTCAGTCTCCTATTAAAATATTTCTCCACATAGCATTGAACTTACACAGGTACTTTAAAGCCATGGGCTGCACTTTGGCAACCCCACACTTGCCATGGCCACCCTTCAGAGATGGACTGGAGTGACTTTTTATATCCGGCTTCCCTAACCTTCTGTGAGTGAAACATTCATTATTTGTTGAGAGAAACGATGCCTAAAGCTTGCACCTTGTGATAAGTTCTCTTGAGTAACAGATCTTCCAGGGACCCGAAGGATGTATGTTGAGAACATAAGTTGCAACCATGAGGCTGTGAAGAGAGGCGTCATTGCATTGCTTATAGAAGTTGCCAGACAGGAAGCCTCAATCAGCCCTGTACTTCCATGACACCTGCATTAGGAAATCTGGATTTTAGTGAACTAAGTTAGGATAGATAACTCCAAGAAGCCATTTTGAGTTACAGGATGCTTTCACTTCCTTGAAGTTTGAAATTCCTGATGTCCCAAGGACAAGGAGAGCCAGGAACACACAGAGGCTGGTGCCCTCAGCTGTCACCACTACTTTCCTCCCTTGTTTGCATTCACCTCCCAGTCTGTCTTTTACAATAACACCCTTCTCCGGTGGATAATGGGCTTTTTGTGTGGACTGCATCCTTCAGCAGTAACAAAGGCAGTGACATCCCAAGAGGTCAGCAGCCCAAAGTGCCACATTGAGCCTTGGAAACTCAATGACTCCAGGGAACTGATGGGGGCCTGGGCTGTGGCCAGGAAAAGAGTTCACTGTTCTTATGGTGACTGCTTCCCCTCACCATCTCTGTCTTCATTCCTCTCCAGTGGCATTTTTATCCATCCTCTGCATTATCTCTCCTATTCTTATCAACACTCTCCTCAATCATGTCTTTTATTTGCTTCTACCTGGAGAGGATATATCATGCCTTTCCCCAGGTAATTGGCTGTTGTTAAAGGCAGAGGGAAGTGAAGCGTCTGTTGGTGGAAAAGGAGGATCCTCTCTCTTGGGTTAGCTCCTTATGCAGCCCTATCTTCCTCCTCTGAATTCCCAGGGATCTGGCTCAGGTACTGTTGTTTTTCTTTATCTGTTACAATTGGTTTGAATTTCTATACTTGTTTTAATTCTAAGACAACCTGGGGAGCATGACGAAATCTACAAAAATCTGACGAAATCTAAAAAAATTTAATTATAAACATTTTATTAACCTATCGCTATTAGGGAATGGATAGACATTGGCAAAGATAAGCAATAGGATATAGGACTAAAAGAAATCTTAAAAATATTTGATTTAGTCTTTACAGAAAATTGCTTTTAATTTTTAATTCATGCATATTTGCAGTTCATGCAGTTTACAGTCATCTTGAGGTGTAGTTACATGTACATACTTTCATCAACTTTTTTGTTTTTGGTTTTTTGTTTTTTTTTTTTTTTTTTTT